TTAGTTTTATTCTTATTCCAGGCTCTGCGGAATCGCGATCCCACCTTCGTCGCCAGTGTTATATGTGTTTGAGGGAAAGACGCAGGAGCCATGGAATCAGAGAGTAAGATGTTTATTGCGAGATGACTGCGATTCAAAACGTCCCTGCAACTGTCAGGGGATTTATACTCAAGCCCAAAGCAACTGTCAAATGACCAGCCAATCAGAGAGCTGGTAACAGGGAACATTTGCATATATAACACTTCCCAAGATTTCAGAAATGGTTTGCCCTTGCTTGCTTCCTAGCGCTGAGAGAAGAGGACTGGCCCAATGTCATCCAGCTTGGGAGCCTAAGGTGAGTCTAGAACTCACTGTTTTCTGGTTTACAGCCTGATAACCATTACACCAACTGGCTCCAAGAAATATATTAGTAATATTTAAATAGGGTTGAGAGTTCAGCAAAAAAGAAGTGATTTTTAGAAATCTTTGACACTCAATGCCATAAGGTTGAAGACACAAAATGAGAAGACCATGTCATCCATGTCTGTATAACATCAAATTTAGGAGGACTTTAACATGCCTTTCAGAGATGTTCTCATAGGATGGGTGCATTCAATTTTGAGAAGGTTGTATATATAGGAGTGAGAGAGACTGAAGGATATGAATATGACAAGTGTTGTACATGTTTTGAAAATGATGCACAAGAAATGGTTTGAGTTTGCAACAAAACAAAACTTCTATGCTATTTTTTAATTTTCTGTGTGATCTCAAGCATAGATGCTTTTACTTTGAGGAATAAACATCCCCACTCCTTGCTCAAGCTTTATGTGGCAAAGCAAAATCCATACTCACAAAGTGGGTAAAGCGAGGATTTATATTTTATGGGGACTCTCAAGGGTTAACTCATATAGAAGAACTATTCTGCTAAATCTCTACAAAACAGAAGGCCACCATTTTGGTCCTTAATAAACCCTAAATTCCCTTCTTCCCCACAAAAGAGCTTTTCTTTTTTATTCTATTTATTCTATCCATACGAAGGACCACTAGAGTGTAAAAAGATGCTGGCATGATTCACATGACTCTAGACTACACCTTGTCCCTCCATGTTTTAAGAGTGCAAGTAACTAATTATATTAAACACACTTATTGTGTTTAAGCATTTGGATAATCTTTAAGCTTTTTTGTATAAGCCACTTATAGCCTTGTAGTTACAAACACATGCTTTTAAAGAAAGGCCTTGAAATTAAACTCAGTACTTCTACCAACAATAAATACTAGTTCCAATTATATCTGTCCTCTATATATTATGACTATTTCAAAATAGCAAAATAATACTTATTTTATAAAATAAAATAGTTTTAATTTACAAAAATTTTCACAAAATAAGTAATATGCATGCTCTATAAATGTTATAAAAATCATATTGAAAAGAAATTTTTTCCAAGCTTGTAAGCTGAAATTTATTTATTAGCTTTCCTTTCATTAGGAAAGACTTCTGAATACTGTTTCAAGAGATGCTTACTTAAAACTATTTTTTATAAGAGTGGCAATTAACTACCAGATGGAGAAGCAATGTTTTAACTGGAAAATAAGCTTTGAGAACACCATCTGTGTGAAATTCATGTAGTAAACAAGTCTGGCTTTCATATTATCATCCAAAATACATTTTTGTCAGAATTCTTTTCTGAAATAAATGTAAAATGTGAGCTATGTAAACTGTGTCCTGAGCTCATAACTCATGTGACATATTTTACTGTTTTATACATGCAGAACTAAAGAAAAGTGAAAAGAAAGGTCTTTTAACAAAGCAAAATAAGATTGTGTATCTTCCTGAATTTTAGAGAAAAGTCTGTGATGAGGCAAAAAATAGATCTCTTACACGAAGAGTTGTAAAGGCTGCATTGCAAAATGGAAAAGATTGATTTAATAAGCTTCTAAAAATATCAGTTATTACAGGTGATTTCTCATTTTCCCCCAGCAAAGTGAAGTATGTAACTGTCCTTTGATCAAGGAATGTGTGTGTAGCTTTGAGTAGCATATCAGAGGCTGTACTTCTAAAAGTAGAACAATAAATAACTTAATCTTATGCAATTGATATGGTTATTTCCAACATATTTAATAATGTTATCTTTTGGCTACATTACAAAATATAATTCTGGAGTATTTAGGATTTGGGGGACTGTGTGTAACCCTAAGACTTTAGGTTCATACATCTTTCTTATTAATTAATTTATTTATTTATTTGGGTTGCACACCGGGAATCAATGCAATGCTTTCATTGACCTTTGCATAATCTGTTCGCAATAACTAGGTTGATACAGGTTTATAAAATTATCTGAATAACTTACTTGAAGTGAGATGTTTGCTTGAGGACGGATTTTGGCTAGTGGAAGCTCAACGTAGGAATCCTTCCCAACAAAATTGACGGTAATGAGCTTCTCACACTTCTGGCCAGCAAAACCTGCCAGGCAACGACAGACGGGTTCCTGCTGTACAACAATACATTGTGCTCCATTTTGGCATTCATAATAATCACAAGGACTGGTTTGGAGGAGAACCATGGGTGGTGGATTTTCACAGAAGAGTCCACTTGAAAAATAGAAAATGGTCAATGTTAATTTGAGGCGCACAAGCATTAAACAGAAGTTTAATAGTATGTGCTTTATATAAATATCTTTTGCTGCTGTAGGATATCTCAAGTTGACAAATATTGGTCTAAATATTAACATTTCCAATAAACATTTTAATATTTTATGGTATTCGAAGAATATCTGCATATGGAATAGCTATATCACAATAGACACTACCCAATTTTGAAGTAAACATTTTGTACTAATGAAGAAATGTTCTAGGGAAAAATTATGTTTATTAATTTATTCAATTTATTTAGCCACCCATCTCAAACAACTGATTCTATGTGGTGAGAATCATATTGTGGAAATAATGCATTCATTTTATATGAAAGCACAAAAATAATAAAAAATGTATTAGGAAATTTTACATATTAATAACTTCTTATATACTAACAATCCTCCAATTTTCCTGTTTCTTGCAGTGGAAAGCTTTGCTTATGTCTTGACCAAACCAGAAAGGAGAAAAATTGGTTTTCAAAAATAATGGTTACATTAAACAATGTGTTTTGATTATTTGACTGTGAAACATTTAATTAAGATACAGTAGTCTCCATTTCTCTTCCAGATGTAATGTAACTCTTCAAACCAGCCAAACTGCCATAATTCCACTCTATCTAGAGGACATCAGATAAAGTAAGTTTGAATGAATGTGAGCTTTATAGGAAAAAACAAAACAAAATTAAGTCTATGTTTCAAAACTAAACTATGTATTAAAAATTCTTTAAAAATAAGACAGTACTGAAATAAGGTAAAATAAAAACCTATGTGGAATATTTTATTTTTTCAATGAAAACATGCAGTTTTGTCTTATCAGTGTTTCTTAAACATGGGCTATGTGGTTACCACGCCTGTGTACTTTAGAAATATAACTCATTTTTAATTTGTTCTTTTTTGACTTTCCTATATCCATATTTTTCAAAAACTGATCAGACAATGTGAAACAGGAATCTGACACTTTTTCTCTCCCAGTAACATCTGGATTTTTTTTGTCAGTATTAACAATACTGTGCTGACAATGTTGATATTCAAGAAAGAATAGCTACAAGAAGAAGTCTGAGTTAGACTAGAAATGTTGCATGGGATGAGAAGGTCTTAAACAGTCAGCGTTGCCATCACTCCCTACATTATATTTTCAAGAGAAAAAAAGTTCTTATTTTAACTTTCAATAAAGGTATAGTATATGCATGCGTCCACTATGTTTGTATGTGTACCAGGCTGTTGAGGACTCCTGTTCTAGAGGAAACTTTATAATAATAGTTACACTTTTTCATTTTTTTCTGCCTTAATGCCTTATCACTTCTCTGAATTGCTTTTCCAAGTCATTCCAAGTAGTCACTGGTAGGCCAGTGGTGGATAATACAATAAAAATACACTATTGCTGGATGAAATATGTGCAAAGAACAACTGTATTCAGTTATAAACAGATGACCTGAGTGTTTTTAGTGTAACTAATATTCTGTGCTGCTACACTCATCCAATTTTCAAATCCTCCAAATGGAACATATTAATCAGGCAATGGTAAAGTTGAAAAGAGAAAGCCTAAGTTTGTTAACAAAAGCTTTCCAAAACTAGCCAATCAATGTGCACAGCATAATGAGCAAATCATTACAGGTAGTCCTCAATTTACAATAAGTTACATAGCAACTGTTCAAAATTATGGAAGACTCCTCAGTACTTATGACTTAGAGTCAAAGTTCTGATGGCCATTTGAGGCACATGGCAACTGGCCTGCATTTACAGTTGTTTGCAATGTCCCACAATCATGTGATCATGATTTATGTTTTTTTTAATGGAAAACTAGCCCATTGCAGATTGTAGGTTTGCGTAATAATGCTGCACTCGCTTAATGACCATGGATTTTCTTAACAGCTGATGCAAAAAAAGTCATAAAATGCGATGATCCGCTTTAATGATTTACAATTTACGACCATAATTCCAGGCTAAATTATCAATACAGCCTATAACTTATTCTGATCATTTGGAATCATTACAATTTTGAAATGATTAACGCAATCAATGTCACACCATTTCATTTAAAAGATACAAAGCATATGTGTTTCCCGGTGAGGCATTTCATTGTGAAAAGAAAATAGGAGTGTAAACCAACTACCGGCATCAGCAACTGGGAGAAAGCAGTGTAGTAATCTAGTTATGAGGCAATACCATCATGGATAATTATGGCCAGATCTAAGTATCACAGATGTTTATCAGCCTATTATATTTAATAGTGTCTCCATACTATATTATGAAACTACACTGTTGCTAATGCTGACATGCAAAACATAATCACAACTACCAAGTTTCAAAGCTGAAGGCTTTAATCTGAAACTAGATCCACTGCAAAAGTAAATCAAATGAACAAAAGACTCCATACATTCAGTCCTATAGTATAGGCAAAGGTAGTTAAAGACAATTTGGAATAAATCCCAAGAACCCTATTACCAATTCTAGCATGTTCAATGCTCTCACAGATTGATATACTATTTTCTTCAGATCCTTCGTAAAAGCAAAATTCAAAACTATTTTTCAACACTTCTTACCTTTTGCAACTGATCTATCTTCTCTCGTATAAAACACAGTTTAACACTTTTTGAAATGCATTAGCATATTTCTTCATCTATTTCAAGTTAGTCTACATAGATGTGCTCCAAATGGCACCCAAGACAGTTACTGCATGGAGTTACAACGTAAAGTATAACTAATCTCACTAAGGCCTATTCCTGCCCAGGTTTTCGACAGTCAGTTTTTCAAAGCTTTATTAGCGCCAGCTTTTTAATTCATCCAGATTCTTGGAATGGAAACAATTTACAGTTTTCGGTAAGAGAACTTCTGTAGTATGTAGCAAGACAACAGGTTACATTTAATGTACTGATCAAGCATTAGCTACATAAAGTGAAATCTAGAATGTATGTTCTGAAAATGTAGGGCAATCTGACTCTGATTCCAAAGCTTAATACCATTAATAAAAATGCTTTTTTTTTAGCAGTGACCTAATGGGTACTGCAACCTTCTCTAACTTGGTGACTACTGGATATCTTGGACTTTAACTTCTCCAGTTACGGCAAATCATCAAGTTGGGAAAAGGTAAGACAGTAAAATGCTAGAAATTTTTTTTCTACCCAGTATGTATAGCTTGTTATATCTGCTGGAATTTATGGTGGTCAACATAGACCAATCACCTAGTTTCTTGTTAGCTAATAGAGTTCTTTGCATAAGAAGTATGCAGGAAGCAAACATAAAACAAAGGTCAGGTTTAAGCGATTTACTCGGTTTATTTTAATATACCACTGAAAATCCTTCATTTTAAATCTTGTTACATTTTGCATCTTTATATCTATCTTAAATATAACAACAAACTTGCTATTTGGTTTGTCCAACCAGGAAACGTCATTACGTACCAATCAATAGGCCTGCAATTGATTTACTATTATAATACATGCTCCTTTGAGAGCATTTTCTTCTTTTTCTCAAGCCAAAAAGGTGATTAAAATTAAAAGTGAGTAAGTACTTATTTCCCAGATGATTATAATAACCCAATCCTGAACATGTAATTTTTTTTTTGATATTTTTAATGTTAACTATTCCCTTAGATACTATATAAAGAATTGTGATTTGAACATTTACAGAGCAACTCAAAGAAACTGCTATGGATAATAACGGCCCTAGCTATGTTTTAATAACCCCACATTTCCCTTCATCAAGTCAGTCTGTGCTGTCTTATCATGATGGGGAAGGAGGTATTCCTGATGGAATGCATGAAGAACATTGAAAATGTATGCCAGGAGTAAAATTGATCAAAACAAAAGGTCATTCCAGCTGCCCAGTTAAAGAAAGCAGGCATCTATATTAGAGATATAAATCTGTATATAAGAAGACGCCAGAGGTGGACGATCATCTTAATGATAATGGCAAAGACATAAATTCATATTAAATGGCAGAAGCAATGGTAAGCCACCCCTGTAAGACAACCACATGGACAGAAACTATAAAATGTCTAATGACTTTTGTTGAACAATGAAGGAATAAGATCTCTGTTTGAAGGTATGAAATGCAAGGTTAACAATAAATAGAAGTATACTCTCTGGGGGAAAATAATGCTAATGTTAACTGAATATATATTGTAGAATGAAAATAAGGCCTTTAGTTATATTAGATGAAATATTTGAGACGGTNGAATGAATGAATGAATTAGTGTCTGGAATTATCTGCCAGGCTTTAATATTATAGTGAGAAGTAGATAAATATATTTTCTAGAATTTCTGGAACTTGCTAATGATTTGGCAAAATTTCTGTTTCATATGTAGGTTTTGTTTTTGCTTTTTTTTTGCTTTTTGATATGTGTAGTTTTAATTTGTATTGATTTAATAAGATGATGTATACGTTAATGCTTAGTGTGCAGGAATCAAGATAATGATATACCTGAGATTTGGAAGAGGGGTAAGAAACCAAGGGTCTGCCACATATTTTGGATTGCAACTCCTATTAGTCCTAATTAATATAGTTAACTTTTTTTGGCCCAAAAGCTGCCATTGTTTAATTGATGGCTTCTAGATAAAAGCAAAACCAAAAAAGTGTAATCAAAAGAATAAAACACATAACAGTAAGCATCATGGTGAATCTCATCAGCAACAAACATATGCACCCAACAAGGGTCTTCAACTATTCTAACCCATAGCTTGGTCTCCAGAACCTTATTCCAGAGGGCATGCTCTGTCATAGAGAAAGCATGTTTCTGGGGTCCTATGTATGACACTGATACATCAAAGCAATCCAGAATGTGCCAACCGTGTTAGATTAAATCAGGCTGACACTATTGGAGATAGAAAATCCCTCAAATATTCAAATACTTTGCCATGTAGGGCTTTATGTATCATAACCAGCACCTTGAATTGCATCTTCATTGAATGTGCAGTGCTTGCAACTCATGAAACAATCACATTACTGCTTGTGCAGCTGCATTCTGGACATTTGAAAACTTTGAATGATTTTCAAGGGTAGCTCCACAGCAAAGTCTTTGCAGGAATTGACGCATGAGTTGACCAGGACATAAGTGCTTATCTAAATCTAGGAAGTACAACTGACACACCAGATGGAATTTTACAAAGACCTTCCTGACCACATCTGCTGTATGCTTATCAAACACAAGCTGTGAATCTTGGAAGACACAGAGATGGCACTTCCCCATTCAATAGGGAACTTGGATGAAATCTCATCCAAGGTTAGCGATGGAACACATTCCTTTGGGTCCACTTAAATGGTGGGCCCATTTAAAGGCCTAACATTCACCGTCAACTGGTCTTGGTAAGACTTGGTAAATCAGAGAGTTTCCTTCCATCCAGACCCAAATAGCCTACAGATACTGAGATACCATCTCAGCAATCTCAGTTGCCTGACCTGGTACTGAAAAATGTGACTGAATATTATCAGCATACTGATGATACCAGACCTCAAATAGTGAATGATTTTATTTGGCAATTTCACATAGATGTTGAACAGTGAACAATGAGAATGTCAAGGCCTGCCATATTCCACAAAAGAGGGACCTAGGGAGTGAGGCATTATGGAAGATAAAGTTAAAAACATCAAGAATTACTACGTTATTTAGTGCTACCTTAGATGTATTTATATTTCTAGACCGGTGTCTCCTAACATCTCAGTCTGTTTCCAATAGTGGGAACAGCTTAGCAGAAGTGGGATTTTTAACTTACTTTGGGAAGGTGCATTAAAGGTGCATCTTATGACAGTTGCCAGTCCCAAATTCTTTGTTTTCCAACAGCACAGTTATAACCCATACTGTTTGATACCACTTTAGAGATACTTCTAAGAAAAAGAAATGTTGATTTACCAAATAGAAAGAAAATGGAATTGGACCTGTTCCCATTCTGAATCCCACTCACTAAATAGATCTAATCCACTTAAGGAGCTCCCTGTCTCCAGTCTGCCAACATTATTTGGCTGCAGTTTTTTCTCCCTGAGCACAATTTCCCCCCTTTTGAGGTTGATGCTAATCCTCATTCTGCTATAGTCCTTAAACTAATAAAAGATTAGAATGACATTTCCAAAAGGGCATCACATTAGCAGCAGCTTTCACCATCTCCACAGATCACATGGTGGAACACACCATTAGTGAACAGGCCATTAATCTTATAATAATGAAGGGTACAGGAATAATGGGGAGTCTGAATCTTAGTGCCACAGGTAACTTTGTCAGACAGGAGAAGCTGCATATAATGCTGTGATATCTAAAACAGCCCCTTGTCACTACAGCATTCTACAAGCAACAAAAGAGAACAAGCACCCACTCTGATCAGTCACTGTGTGTGTTGTCTGCAACTAATGAGCCTTCTCCTATGCTCTAATTAGTGGCATAAAACTGCTTTAACAACTCTGCCTATGCTATAATGTGGAATCAATTAGGATTAGCTGCAAAATAAAGAGTCTGTTTTTGTGGCTTTCCCACCAGGCTATAATCACTAGTGAAAGTAACCAACAAAAACCCCTGATGATGGTTAGACATACTTCCTGAGACCTAATGACAGCTCTTTCAGTTCCACTATAGAGTTTGCTGAAGACAATGTACTGCCTAATTAGTCAATACACCATCTAGTGTAGAAAACAGCCTCCTGAATTTGATTCTATTCTCTTGCAAACTCCATACAGTTCTAAAAGAAACAGATGGCAGTGCCAAACTGAGCTAATTATCCATCCTCCTGATTTCTCATGTATTAACACTTTTCTCATGAAAGTCTGAGACTCTATAAGCAGTTTCCGGTTTCTCCCTACTTATCCTTTTAAATATTGCTATGTAGGGCAAGGGCACCTTTTAAAAAGAAGATATTTGTGCAGGCTTCTCTAGGGTATCCTAAATTGCCATAACTTTGGATACAAAAAAGGCCAACCGGATTGGTTTGTTATCTTTCAGAGTGTCTTCATTGATTTTATGGGGTACTTTCAAATCAGATTATTATTCTGCTGTCTCCTGCTACATTCATGAAATGATTTGGGAAGGCTCTTGTCATCTTATATTCGTAGCCCAACAAAATTGTCTTGCACTTTTTGACTTTTTTCATAACATTTATAAAACTATGTTAAAGTGGGAAAACCAGAGTAATTGCAGGAGGCCTCTGTGGGTTAGGCACTGCTAGAAACTGTTCATCAAAATGTGTCCCTCGTGTGGCTGAGAATTTGCTGCATACTTGAGTTTCCTATAGCAAATGATTGTAAAAAGTTGGATATGACATATAGTTTTTATGATTTGCTTTTCACTGCTGATCCCTTCTCTCCTTCTATGACTGCTGTATGATATGTTATATATTTTTACTGCGGGATGAGACACTCTGGGTTTATTTTAGAGCCATAGATAGTACAGTGTGCATTTGTACCAATCGAGTTGGATATATTTATTTAAAAAAAACAGAAATGAAACAAACCACACACTAGTCTGAACTGGGCTTTTCTCCATTAACCTATTACAAAGAGGTTGGAGAATGTACATAACTCATTCACATGTGTATAAGAGAACAATCAATTTGAAAGAGGTTGGAGAATGTGCATAACTCATTCACATGTGTATAGGAGAACAATCAATTTGTTTTGGTGAGTAGGAATGACCTGCACCAAGTCTTCTTCAAGAAAATATTTTTAATTATACCAAGTAATAACTTTGATACTTTTTTTTAAAAAAAAGCATTAATTCTGGATGTAACTTGGCTTCTTTTACTACAATGTGCTCCATAGCCATCTTCGGCAGCGCACATGCTGTTTATGACAGTAGCAGCAGGCAATCTGGGGAAGAAGCCAGGTGGTAAATTCATGATTTATCAACTGTCTTGTGGCCCCAAAGGAAACAGAATTCAGCTACATAATAAAAAGAAATACTAGACAATGTGATGCACAATTAAGGGTGTCATAATCATCTCCGGTTTTAAAAACGACTGACATGAACTAGTCTATTTCTCCACAGGAAATAGATTTGGATTAACTATTTGGAATAATTGCATATAAGAACTGCCAACGGGGAGGAGGAGTGTTTGGTTGTCTCATTGTGTTATGTCTCCCTTTACTGGAGGCTGTCAAACAAACACTGGAAAGCTATTTGTCCAAAGTGCTTTAACAGATCATACATCAAGTGGTGAATTGGGTTAGATGACTTCTGAGATTTTTTTTCAATTCTCTGATTCTTGGATTCTGTGAATTCAACTGAAAACAATTAGTTTCTAAAACTTTGTTTGAAAATGATGATGAAGAAAGAATCAAAATGTGTCCTTAGAACAAAACTGAGCTTATACAGTAATATGAGATTGCTGAAATAATTAAATGAAAGTTATTTATTTTATTTATTTTTCACTTTGATTACTGAAGATGGCATGGTGGGTGGGGATATTTTTTCTTGCTAACTTTTTACACTTCCTCTTGCTCTAGAATCTAGTAAAAGCAGATTTCCAAAGCATAAAATATATACAGTCTAAAATGATAAGTTATATCAATTTTATTAATATAATGTTGGTGGTGTTACTTTTTGACTAATCATAAATCAGTCAGACTTACCTGTATATAGTTGTAGGTGGAGCATTCACTGTGTCATAGATAAGTCTCACATGCCCTTGATACAATTCTAAAGCCAGGGGATCATTGTCTCCTTTGTATAATAAGATGCCATTGTCTTTATCAGTTGCTACCTTTAAACAGAATAAAAGGAAAATTAATAATGATATAGAAGCAAGAAAATATGTACATTCCTCCATAGTTTTTAAGGTTAACTAACATTAATTCCAAATTTATCCCATTGTTATTTAGCAATGAGGATTGGTCTATGGCTTCCCAAAGAAATATTCTCTGTATACCACAAATATTAGGATGTAAGTTACAATTACTGTGATGCCAATTCTAACTTTTAAGTTTCCCTTAAGTGCTCACATTAATAAATGGAATTCTGACATTCCTTAGTCATGTCAGAAAGATCGTTGGAATACTGCATTATGGAGTGATGCTTCTCTCAGAAAAATACCCTCAATTCAGTTTTGAAGAGTGTTAGGAGCTTGACATGTTGAGTGACTGCAGTGCAGCAGAGGCTACACTAGAAATTCTGACTTTGCTTGTTCTTAGTTTTATGATCCATCTTTTCCACCTCACTAGCTTGTGCACTAGCTAGCTGAGCTGTTGTAAAAGATGTAACTCAAACATAGTTTTCCAACATGTCTCTGGTAACTAAATAATCCCTAGTGTTACTTGTGAAAGAACTTTCTTCCCCAACTATAAGAGATTTAGAGGCAACCTAATACCTTTCTAGAGACTTTATTGACACATAGTCTCTTAATAAAAACAGCCGCCTTACTGAAAGAATTTAGAAATTGTATAGTTTATATAGTCTTCCTGTTATATGTGTTTGAGGGAAAGACGCAGGAGCCATGGAATCAGAGAGTAAGATGTTTATTGCGAGATGACAGCGATTCAAAATGTCCCTGCAACTGT